ATCCACCCGAATCCGAACGCACCACCCCAAAAAAATTCCAAAAATCAGATGAAAATTAACAGGTATATGGAATCAACATCAATTATCAATCCGACATCACGACTGACATCATAAAAGTCCAAAGTGAAAATCGCACACCACACTCCTCACACTACCTCCCTCCGCATTGTAATAGTACATTACACACCGAGGTGGAAAGATTATAGCTAACCTCGACGCTTTGCGTCTCGGTTAACTAACTAATGTCGAGACGGGAATGAAACTCCCTACCGAGGTTTGTATACTATTTTATTTACAACCATCATATTTCGATCAAAATTGATAAATCTATGTTTCGTTCTGAACATACCTGGATTATTACATGAGTGAGGGCGGGAAGTGAGGGCGGAAGGTGAGAGCGGGAAGTAGAGGTGTGTAATGTGACACTTCCCAACCTTCAATGACATGACATATATGGCTGTGAATAAATATTGTTACTCTTCTTGGACTTATGATAAATTGATATTCATCATACAGGACGTGGAAAGAAATTCTGAATTGAGAAAACCTAATTACAAATCTACGAGGTCTATAAAATAAGTTTCCATCGTGCAAGTTTGAACCCCTTGATTTGGCGAAAGTATTGAAAAGGAATATTCTCAGATATACTACTATACTATATATATACAGAGGTGTGCACAAAAAACGGCTAGAGCTGTAACTTCTGAATCATTCAAGATCGAAATTTGAAATTTGGTGGGTAGCAACTATACCATATTGTTCATTTATTGACGAAAAAAAATTATTCCATCACTTCCAGTCTAACCGGAAGTGACCCCAACTTTTGATTTTCGAATGGAACCCCCTGTATATTTTTCCATTTTTAGATTCTGGGTATCATTTTACATACAGCAGTAGTTTATTCGGATCATTTCGTGTGAAACAGAAAGAACAACAAAATGAACTCCACATCAATCTTTATTATTTTCAGTAGCATAGAAAGAGGGGTCGATAAAAAATTAATTACAACAAATGCTCAAATTGACCCTCATTTTGTGCAATGCATTGCTGACACCTAGCTACACTGAAAGTTGCGTTGTGTAAAAATGCTTGAGGTATATTGCGGCAAGCCTCTGATATTCGATGCCTAAGGATTTCTTTATTCTCTGGCTGAAATAGATAAACTTGATCCTTCAAGTAACCCCAAAGGAAGAAATCCATGACTGTCAAATCTGGACTGCGAACTGGCCACCGTACCTTTCTCCAAAGTGTGTATTCAAATAAGTCACATTCAAACGCGTATTGTGTGGCGGTGCTCCATCTTGTTGGAAAATGACTTCATAATAGTGGTGCCCGCGAGAGTCTCGTTTTCGAGAGTCTCGCATGGTCTCGTATCGTTTTCGAGACAAGACTCAAGACAAGACTCGGACAAGACGAGACGAGACTTTTATTGGTCTCGTCTCGAGTCTCGTGCAAGACTTCTCGTGTCTCGTGCGAGAGTCTCGCAGGTATATATTTCTGCGTGCCGACTGCAGACTTGAGAATTTCATTCATAATACAACATATTTGAAAAAAAATCACGACTATTTAGCACAGATAGACAAGACATTTCAATCATAGATACTTCAAAAACACAATCCATGATTTTTGTAAAACGACGTAATGCGTGAAACGAAGACGGACTATTATCTCTTACGGCGGTGGAATATAAGGGCAAATCTGCAATAACGACAGATCACAAATTGGATGACTACCTGAAAATCTATAAATAAGTCATTCTGTGCTAAATAGTCTAATGGTGGATGTATGCAACATTTGCATAGTCCTAATCATAGTCTTAGTAATAATTTCAAGCATAACTAGAAGTTGAAAGAAGGTACTTGCATGAGGCCGTTTACAAACCAATTTTAGTATTAAGCATAAGCACAAACCCAAGAAACGACCTTGAAAGTTGAATAATTTGAACTTTTATGCTTATGCTTATGTTATGTGGATTTGGCGCATGCTCCTTTGATAGAATTGTTGATGATTTGTTGTTTACATGTTCCGAAAATAATATTATGAGAAGCTCAGATGTTGATAAGTTTGATAGATAATTTTCCTTATCTCTGATACGAAAAGAAACAAAAATTCTCACATGACTTTTATGCTTAAATCAAGTTTTAATGTTTCTGGATCAATACCTCAAATCTTTAAGACAAAAATTAATACTGAGACTATGCTTAGAACTAAGACTAGGACTATGCAAATGTTGCATAAATCCGCCATAAGATAAAGAATAACTTTGTTTTGACAGGCCGCCGACGCCACGGTTGCATCGCCTATCGCCTTTTAGTATGTACCTATTAGGTACCTACTTTTCAATGAATAATGTTATTTTTGTTGTAATTTTTTCTTCCCACTTCTACATTTATACCTAAAAAGTTGGTGAAGGTGAATATCCCGTACTAGACTGGAAAAAGATTATGCATGACAAAATTGCGATACATTTGCGAGACTCTCGTACGAGACGCGAGACAAGACGAGACTAGAGGCTGCGAGACGAGACTCGAGACAAGAATTTATAGTTCATCGGCGAGACGAGACAAGACTTTATGAAAGTCTCGTCTCGTTGGTCTCGTGTGAATCACTACTTCATAACGATTGGCGAGGGGAAGTTGGTACAGGAAATTTTCAATATAACCAGTAAGCAATTCAGAATACTTATACTGGGCTAAAGAACCGTCGATGAAGAACGGGCCTACCAACATATCATCAAGAATTCCGCACCATACCACATAATTTTTCTATAAAATGCAGGATCTTGATTAAACCTATTCAAAAAAATATTGCAGAAATGTGTCCTACGTTCGCTGTCATTATCGTGCTCCAAGGCGTGAATTTTGCGGGGAACGTATGGCGTGTACTTACGTTTTTTCAAAATAGAAAGAACTGTTCTTCGTGACGCACCAAAATCATTTGCAATCTTAATTGTAAATGTCCTGGGCGTTTCTTGTACACTGAGTAAAACATTCAATTCCAAATCTGCATCAAACTCTCGCTGTTGTTTCTTTGATTTTTTTAAACTACCAAATTGACGTAGATTAGCTTCCAATCTGCCAAATTTCTGATGGCTAGGATGATTTCTATTCGAATATATGTTTCTATAAACTCGAGCAGCATCGTACGAATTTTTCAAACATTCAAAATAAACTTGTAACATATCGGTTAAGTCATTATTATTCATGTTTATAAAATAGAAAATATCATCACCCGTAATAAAACTTATTATTGGATGTTACTGTCACATTGAAATTGACTTACAAGGCTACCTAGATCTTGATAACTATTACCAATTAATGGACAATGTTTAAAGATGAAAACGAATTAAAAAAAACCTCCTTGACATTTTGATCCGGAAAAACTACTGGTGTATGTTAAATGATACCCTGAATCCAATAATGGGAAAATATACAGGGGGTTCCATTCGGAAACTAAAAGTTGGGGTCACTTCCGGTTATTTTTCATCAATAAATGAAAAATATGGTATAGTTGCTACCCACCAAATTTCAAATTTAGATCTCGAATGATTCAGAAGTTACAGCTCTAGCCGTTTTTTGTGCACACCTCTGCATATAATATATTATATGCAGATCTTTATATGAAGGAGAATAATTCAAATTCTCTACTTCAGAAGATTTTGTTTCCAAATCCTTATCGTATGATCAATAGATGTGATTCAATATTCGTCGTGGCATATAGCCAGGAAAGTAGTTTTCTGTTGAATAAACCGAGAAAGAATTGAAATTTCCATCACATGGAGAATAAGAATTCTCATTGTATTTCTCTATATATATATATCCATTTTTTTGTGTTCATGAAATATATCTGAGAATATTCCTTTTCAATTATTACTCTGTTCACACTGCACTATAATACACTGATGTTTCCGAACAGCGCGAATTGACGTAATTCTCATGCACTTGGTTTTACGAACACAGTGTAATATTACCTATTGTTTGTCTCCAGATCTCCACTCAATCTATCGCTCCAACTATGGAATCATCATAAGTAATATCACGATTTTCTGAATATTCGAGATAATTCTGTCGCTTCACTGTTAACGAACTTGTATTGTCGAGCAACTGTATGTATGTATGTATGTAAGCATGAGAAGATATTCAGAACAGAGTGATATTTTGCTAGACTATTTCACGTTCACGAATCATGAAGAGCATTGATTAAAAAATGAGTGATTCATTCTGACAGGTACATCCATAATTATTTCATGCCAAACTGACATACTTTGCTTCCCTATCAATAGTTGCGTTTTATTTGTTCCATTCTGGTAGCGGTGGTGGGAACAGAATGTAGTTTACAAATAAAACGAGAAACTTCATAACCTTGCTTGAGAGAATTTACATGAGAGGTTATATTTGTATATGGGAGATCCAAATAATTTCAAATGCATAATACTAGAGTTGAGAATCTAAAAAGTGAATACACTAATATTTGAAGCAGTTATTGTGGCGATTGAAGAAACTTCTCTGAGATCGACAGGGTTTATTTTATCTGGGAATGAACATATGAAACCTGTCTTACTTGAAAGAATCATGAACTAGTGAAACTCACGCTGAAAATGTCTTCTAAATGTCTTTTACTTTCAGAAAGGTTCGTTTTTCGTAAATCTAATTTGATTTTTTGACACCTGTCAACAGTCATTCCACATCATTCCTTGTAGTGAGACGTAACGGAAAGTAGCAACCAGAATCAGAAGAATTGCAAGTAAAACGACACATCAAACTGATTCCGGTGGCGGAATCAAATAAATAGAACGCAACTAATGATTACATCCAAACTTTGCTTCGCTATTTATGGTTACATCGTTGAAAATATCGACGCTGATAGACCAATCAGAATTAAAACACAGCGAATAGTTTCGCAATAAACACACGTTGTCTTTGGCTTAAGATTGGTCAGATTATGTTATAAGTGAAATAGTTCAAATAAGTCAATTTAATCATCCATATCAGTCTACGTACCTAAAGAAGAGCCATTTCCTGTAGATAAATAACCCCTCAGTTGATTATTTTCCCTATAGGAGTTGATAACTGTTAGACTGCCATTCGATAATTGGCAGTGGAAATGAGATTCAGTCCATGGAACCTCTTTGGTACTGAAGTGGTAACATTTTTTGTCCACTGCTATGAAATTGGCCGGGCAAACATATGTTGTTTGAATGGTTTCCGCGCTCATCGTGTTGTCTGAAACAAAAATTAATATTATTTCAGTTTATATTTCGTAGGCTACTCATGAATTGATTGATTGCATAGAATGCTCAATCTTCTTCTAAATAAACTGTAAAAGAGTTGATATTCTCATCACATAGAGAATGCGAATTCTCAATGTATTGCTTTAGGTATATATATTTATCCATTTTTCATATTCATAATTTATCTGAGAATATTCCTTCTCAACACTTCTTCTGAATGATTTCGTGAATTTAATAATCGAGAAGAATATATTCCACACATAGGTTTGCTCCTGGGGCAGCGCGGCATATATACTGTGCCTCACAGTGGACTGTTATATTTTCTGCTGTGGTATCGTAGAGATGCCTCGCTGCTGTACAAATCGAATAATTGGGACTTGAAGAATGTGGCCTGACGAACCATGCTATTATCTTGAATCGTGATTTTTTTTTTATTTTCGATTTTTTTTATGTTTCAATTTGAGAGTAGAGGATGGTCTTGTATTAGTAGGCACTTCACTATGAATGAAGGAAGCATTTTATTTTTGCATTTTTCATTCAAGAAATTTACAAACAACGGGATATACTGCATCTCATGAGATCGAAAGATAATAAACTGAAATGTTTGCAACTGAACTGAACATCGTGTGAGCAAGCGATAGAATATTGAGAGAGAACATGGGTATTGTAATTTGTCTTGAAAGTTTGAAAATATAGATTTTCCTTGAACAGTAGATACCTATTTATTTTTTGTTCGATTCATGATCTGAAATAAAAACATTGTACACAATAATGTTTTCCACATACAGAACCCTGCCAGTTTGAACGAGCAGTTTTATTTAGAGCTACTTCACTTCCTTTTGCATTCTCCCAATTACGATAGCATATACAACGTAATCTAGTAGTTTCCTCTACCAAGATATGCTCCTCCCCATCCATTTCGATATCAGTAGTAGGTGAAGATGATATACCTATTTGTAATAGGCTTAGGCACAGCCTTTCACGGAATTCTGTGATCGATATGTTATCCTGTGTGACTCAATGGCAAGTTTTCTTCACCATTTTGTTGTTCTGCGCAAGAAATGAGTGTATGCTTTTATTTGATCAGCTGAGTCAATATAACCTTTGACTTCATTGTAGTCAAGAATAATAACTGGTTTTTCTATTTCACCACCCCTTAGTCTCAGTTTCTTCTGATCGTCCTTGTGAAATGTACTCAACATGAGAACATCTCTCTTATCACGCCATTTCAAAACAACGATCCTGGTTTCACTTTTTCGCACATATTCCTTTGAGTTCAATTCTTCCTCACAATTTCTTCGAGGTTATATACTCAATCAATCAATCAATCAATCAAATAAGCTTTATTGTCCAAAGTGTTAACTCATCGACAAAGCAGGTTACAATTTAACAATAATTATTCATAATGATATTCATAATTCGTCATATAAAATGGTAATACTTATAATAACATCTTGTTTTTGTTATATCTGAACGATTTGGCATATTTGAATATAACAGGAAAATTTACAATATTTGCTGATGACACTACCCTCCTATGGCATGGGAAAAATGTAGAGGGCCTCAGAAACGTTATATCCCAGGAATTAAAGGAAGTTACATCATGGTGCAATACTAATTCTCTGTTTTTCAATGCAAATAAAACCAATATTATAACATTCAAGTTCCAGTATGAAAATCTCATAATTAGTAATATTCAAGTTGAAAATAAGGCTAGTACTAAATTCCTTGGCTTATACATCGATAATAAACTGAGATTCGATATCCACGTCACGTCATTGAGAAAGAAACTCGCATCCGGATGTTATGCTATTAGAATTGTATCAAATGAGCTTGGCAAAGATATAGCAAGAATAGCCTATTTTTCACTGATAGAATCACATATCAGATATGGCATAGCTTTCTGGGGATTTTGTAGTCTTAATTTATTGAAGTCGGTATTCACGTTACAAAAAAGGGCAGTAAGATACCTATGCAGAGTTAGAGCAAGAGACCATTGTAGACCACTATTCATCCAACAAAAAATTCTGACTCTAACATGCATTTTCATCCTTGAAACGACATGTCTGATTCATACCAAACAGTTTCCTAATGCAAATATTGAGACTCATCATATATGCACCCGAAATGAAAACAAAATTTCTCTGCCAATACCAAAAACATCTCTCACAAAAAATTCAGTTATATATGAAAGCAAAAAAATGTATAACCATTTGCCTAATTGTTTTTGTTTATGCATTGTTTTTGTGTGTCATATACGAATTTTAATTGATAACTTCCTATACATTATGTATAGTTATACCTATTTTATTTTGTACTGTACTGTGATAAAAAGTATTATTATTTTTTTTTTTGACGAAATGGATCGTTCCACTACATGCATCTTTCAAGCTTTGTCAATAAGAAAAATGTTCTTGGACAATAAAGCACAGATTGATTGATTGATTGATTGATGATAATAACAATAATGTGAAAAATAAACATAATATATTATATTGTAATATATTATCTCGTCACTATATATATATGAAAACGAACAAACAGACGATATTTGACAAACTACACCAACAAAAACATGAACATAATACTATAATAGTTTCCAAATGAAAATATATAAAATATCAGAAGGTATCATTGTAATATTCTGAAACACTATAGTACGCTTTTATTTCCAGTTGTTTCTTCAGCTCATGCCTGAAGGCTTTAAGATTCGAAACTTTACGTATCTCTTGTGAAAGATGATTGTAAATTTTTTTGCTTTCATATATAAGCGAATTTTTTGTCAATGTATACAAAGGAATGGGTAATTGTAGATTATTTTTTTGTCTGGTGTTATGAACAATTTCTGGAGCTGAGATACTCGACCCGTACTTTTTGTGAATAAGGCACGCAGACTCTATAATGAAGATATTGATGTACACTGTCTGAATTTTATGTTGGATGAAGAGTTGTTTACAGTGTGCCCGGTTTGCAGCCTTACATAGGTACCGAACAGCTCTCTTCTGTAGAACGAACACTGAGTTCAATAATTGATCTGTGCAAAAACCCCAGTAAGCAATACCGTACGTAATATGCGATTCGAATAAAGAGAAATATGCCATTTTCGCTGAAGATGGCCCAAGCTCATTAGAAATAACTCGGATAGCATAACAGCTAGAAGATAGCTTTCTATTGAGGTTTTTTACGTGCTCTTCAAATTTGAGTCTATTGTCAATCGAAAGACCTGAGAATTAACAGTGTGGTTTATTTTCTATATTCTGATTCTCTAGTTGTAAGTCGTCAAAATCGAATCTAATGGTGAGGATATTGGTTTTGTTAGCGTTGAAACATAAGTGATTTATATATAACATAACAATGACCTCTATTCCTTGATCTACACTATCTGCTAGTACTGTCGAATTCACATATTGCTGACCGCTTGTAGAGGCACCGCCATCGTTGAATTCAGTCGAATCAACTAGAGGAACATTTTTCCCTTTTGGAGCAACACCACTATCAGAATCAATGGTTGATGAACTGCTATCACATGGCTGATATTCATCTGATGAATATACATCAGGAAACTCGCTAACATCACTCTCTTCTTCAGATGAAATTCCGTTACAAAGTGCTCCAAGATGTTCTTGTTCTCTTCCGTATTCACCCATTGTGCCTAAAGGCTGAGACACTATAAAAGTTATACTTTCGTTAGCAACTAGATAAGACACCATCAGGGCCGCGATTCTTGACGGTGATAGAGTAGAATGTTTCCTGGGGAGCGCTCCCCGATTTGTTTCTACTCCTTCATATCAAACCAAGAAGTTCGTATTCTTGAGCAAGAGGAAGGGAGCAAAATCATGGCTCTCCGATAGACGGTGTTGCCACGTGTTGCCAAAGGTGACAACCAATCAGATACGATTATTTTCTGACATTTTGACATTCTACAGGTAAGGTGAAGGGTGAAGGAGAACGTTGAATGAATATAATTTTTTCCTAGTTATTATTCATCATTCGAGAATCATTTTCAAATTGATCATGAGGTGAAAATCACATCTCGTCAGCTGAAGATATAGGTAGTTGATGTGACATACCTTAGTCTCTACAGTGAGAGCAGAGGCTCTTGTGGGTGCTTCCATATGAGGATTCACAATGTTAATCTGTTGCCTCGTTAAACATTTTGTTAACCGAAACATGCATTTACAAAAATTTCTGATCAGACAACTCAAAAGGGTTTTGTTTGGAAATTATAACAGCACTTTATCAAGACTTCTTCATTCATAGAACGGCTAGGCTCTGGAATTCATTGCCTGTGGAAGTATTCCCAACAACATATAATCTCCAAAAGTTCAAAAAAAATTCCAATACCTACCTCCTGTCCCTATCATCCCTAGGAACGCACGATGTTCTTTAAACATTATAGGGATTTCCTTTCGTGCGCTCCAAGCGATAAAAAAAACACCAACGTCATTTTCTAGTACAACATCCAGAATATATCTTCATCCACATGTTTTTTGAATCAAAAGAACAATCGAGATCCCAGGAAATATGGAAATTTAAAAAAGCTAACCTTTGATCACTGATGAGACTGATGAGAGAGTTGTCATATTTTTATTCAATTTAATGGCAAGGAGCCAATCAGAAGCGTTCCCTGTTTGGTTCTCTTGAGAATCTTGATAGATGCATTAGTAACTCAGGGAGCGCTCCTCTTGTGTTATTCAGTTCAAGAATACGGTTTTCAGTTTCGGACAGTGGACTCGCCCACTTTCTCTCGATTGTTCTACTCCCCGATTCTCAAGAATCGCGGCCCAGTGCAGTTGATGGAGTTATGCGGATGACTGAAATGAAACAGTGAGGGATTCTGTGAACCCCTTTCTGTCTGAACACATCTGGCCGCCGATTCTTGAGATCAAGAGAGTAGAACGCTCCCTGGGGAGCTCCCTCGGATTTGTTTCTACTTCCTCGTTCTAGAACAACCACAGTGTATTCTCGAACAATATGGAGGGAGATGAGAGGGAGGAAAATAAAAGCTTTCATGAGATATTTTTTGCGCCGTTGTCAAATACTCTAACCAATCGGAAACGATATGTATTGTAGAGAAGAATCAGAACCTAACCTAACATAAAACATCAGCTTTCTGTATCTGATACACCGAATCTCTTGTTCAAAATA